CACCACGCTGGAGGACATGAAACATTAACACATTCAGTAGTAATATGCATCAGTCTCCCTATAAGATTTAGTTGCTCATTAACTAAAGGTTGTAGAATTTACTGTATTTATTGAAAATCAATCTTTTTGTGTGTGTGTTCATAATGACTACAAATAAGAAAACTTTATAGATGTTCCAGTACTCTTTTATGGCACTTTCTTGTCTATTTTCAAAGTTATTTAGAGTCTCATGATTGTGTAGGTAGAAACCACACAGGTCAGTGCTCCTTGCTTCTTTCTGGACTTCAAACAGTCCTGATAAAGCTTTGATGTATGTTTATGGTCACTGGTGTATAGGATGAGATTGAGCCAGATGATCTGGTATGGCAAACCCTAAAAAGAGGAGCGGAGAGAAGAAGTACATTTCCAACAAACTTAAAGCAGCTGAAAAGAGTGGCAGCTCTCTTTGGTTACTGGTTGATCATGTGCAAGTGGAGAATCGTCAAAATACTTCCACATTACATCAGCTTTCTTTAAACTAATGGGATTAGTGTGGCTATTATAATTATCGGTGGGATTTGTAATTATTATATGACAGCTCTCTGAGGATTAATTTGGGGGGATGAGAAATTAGACTGCAGTGAGAGAACCACGTTTTCTCAAAGGCAGAAATTAGATGCACTGATATTCACTGAGATTCACTGTTTCTATTTGCCCTTCCCCTCTGGTTTGCTTTACCTCCATGCCTAATCCCCTTTCCTTTGGTGATGAGCCAGTCAGTAATTGCTTGATGAGGAGTAAGAGTACATGAGCTACAATTCCACCTTGTTTTCAGAGGGCTCGCAGTGTGAAGGGCAGAGAGAGAACCTATAAGGTAAGTTAAATTACAAATTATTCCCTGTGCTTGTTAGCTGGATGGTCAGTGGACCATGCCAGCTGTCCTGCCCTCTGCCCCCAAACTGCCTCAGCTGTTAATCACAATGTCACAGTGACTGATTACTTGGCAGCACTTCGGTCATTCTAAAGCGGGATTGATATATGGAATAATGACCCCTTTAATACAATCTTTATTAGCCACGTGTATAAAATTGCTTCATAAGTGCCACAAAACAGATAATTATAGTCAATTCAGATTAAAAACAATTCGAAACAATATACTCAAAACCATGTTTTTCTCCATAATACTGAGAGATTCTCTAAGTCTTTATTTCTCTGAATAAAAGGAAGTAACTAGATAAGTAGATGATGACTGGGGTTTCTCAATGCCATCTCAAATTGATGTCTAACTTCTCTGCATGGCCATTCCAGTAAATCAAAATGAATAACAGTGATGAAAGTGAACAAATGAAATCAAATAAAACAGGGTCACACATCACTGGAAGGGCAACAAATGGGTACTGAATTGGAAGTAATTTTTCCCCCCTGTGTCTCAACAAAAATGGGAAAAAAAGCCATCAGCTCTGGTCAAAAAGCAAGTTGTCATTTTGCCTAAAGCACCGCTAACCGCATCAACAAAAATATAGGTCTGTGTGGAACTTTGCATGACAGAGGAGGGTCACTCATTTTAATGTAAAAAGACAGTTCTTTTGTGAAAAAGCGCTGAGCGATCCAGAACTCGGGCGAGGTAAAAGCGGTTTGAAAGACCTGACCTTTGTTCGATTTGATTTCTTTTCTGTTCTGCAGTGTCAAAGGTATTGTAGAAGTTAGAAAACTCAGTAGTTCCCACATTAATCTGCTGAAAGTGGAGGGACGTGTAAAAGTTGCTAAATTTAATCCAACAAATACCACGTAAGTAGAATTCCATTTATTAAAATGATGTAATAAAAGTGATAGTATAATGGGTTCCATGTGTCAAGACTCCTGATTCCCTGAAATAAATTATATAGAGAGACAGGAAACCATTGATCCATCAATATGATCCTGATAATGTAAAAAACACAGGAATACTAATTATGATGAATATAAAATACTCACTAGATTTAAATAAAAGCTCCTTTTTTTGAGAACACTTTCAAACATGCATGAGGCCAGTCCAGGGTTTCCACCGATGAACCTAACTACTTGTGACAGTTGTGAAAGAGCAGCATTTTAAAATGGAACAAAATCATAGAAACTGAATCCAGGGAGACAGCCAAAGTCCGTGACAGGGTTGTCCCTTACTTGCTGGTGACGTTGCAGCCTTCCACCTACTCATCAGAATTTTAAATGGCTCTTTACTTTCTACATTTTATATTTTTTCACTATGATTTGTATCTATTTTTTTGGATTGTTTCTTAAATGTTGATATGAGAGTGTAAAATCATCATCTCATTGATGTAAGCTAAATCCCATCAGAGTTTATTTAACACTTATGACAGTTTTGCGCAGCTGCCCCAGAAACACATCTGCTGCAAGCAGACAAACAAACCCAGAGTCAACTGAATACACACAATATCTAAACAAACAAAAAAACACTCCCACAATTATCATGAACAATATAAATGCATAATTGCATTGTTCAAAAATGCATATTCATACAATAAATAAAAAAAAAAAATACAGCTATTTTCACAAAAGTAGAAACATGCGGTCCTTGCTTACATTTTTTCCCCTCCATCTACCTCACCGGCTGCTGCCCTAGAGAGCACTGCGATGTACAGTTCATTTGCCCTGGCAAGCCTCTTTCTCTAGGGGGGTATGAAACATGCTGGAGCCCATTAAGAGTCAGTGGCCACCATGTTTAGTATTGAGGATGTGGCCTCGCCTCTTTTCTAATGATGTAAATACTCACTGACAGCATCCCCGCATGTAGCTTGCATGATGAATCACATGGAGCGGGTAAACAGTAAGTATTACCTGTCTCACTGTTGATGTACAATTATGTGTGTGGGCGCCTGCAGACATGACAGACTGGGGAGGTAACAGCTCATATTTTTCAAACATGAAGATAACACAGGTAATACAGTGAGGCCAGATGTATTATTTTTCTGAGAACTTCAGGAACTTTTTCTTTTACTCTTCTCTGAGTACTGAAATGAAATTAGGCATGTGCTTATGTTGTTTTTAATCTTTCCTCTCTAGTCATGGTAATTTCTGCACAGTTTCCATTGTATGCTTAAGAGTTCTTTAGTTTTATTTTTACTGTCTTTTAGCCCTGACTAGTTGAATCATTGAGAGAAACATGAGTAAAGGCTCTAACTGAAGCCCATGCCCCTGTGGGGAGCCCAAATCCTCTGCATATTCAGACTCAGTTTCTCTCACCTCCCCCTCTACCCCTGCAGGCCTGGCACATGTGTGACATATAATTGATTCATTAATAATGTGAACAGATGTTTCTGGTCCAGTCTGGCATCATTCCGGCTCTCCAGCATAGTATTTTACTGTCACAGCCTGCCTATCTGCATCCCATTAAATGCTCATTGACACAGAAAGGAAGAAGGTTATTTATTTTTGATCCTCAAGAGAGTGGAAGGAAAGAAATTACACATACACATAGGTTAGATAAATTGTACTATTTATGCATGAGCATGTCAGTGAGATGAGTGCTCCACCAGAACTCTCTGAAAGGGTCAATTTAACTGTGAACTTGGAGACATAACTGGAGATTTTGAACCTCCAGTGCCAAATTATTAATCAAGCGTTCATTTCTTTATATGCCTTTATATATATATTCAAACTCTGCTTCTGTGAATTGAACAAATTTTACATAACACCCATTTACACTACATTGTGTTTGCACAATGAAAACGGTCATTTGATTGGCTAGACTGTGATAATAAAAGGCACTTATTGGGATTCTTATCATGTTACAAATTGCACACGAGAGTTCTTCTGTTATAAGCATATGAGGGTGTTTGTTTTTGTTTGGCCATTTATGTGGTCACTTCACACAAATGAAAGTCCATCATAGCCTCATGCTGTTGAGACCCATTGCCCTTTCACACCCGGTCAGCTTCCAGCCCTCTCACTGGTACAATAAGAGATGACAAATAATCAGGAGGGACTGAAATTGAGTGAAAATATAACTGTGGGATGTGCAGCAGGAAGAAGAGCAAAATGTCATCTTCATCCATAGCAGCAACATACTACACTAAACCTTATCATCAGGTAATTGTACATGCAGAGAATATCACTTTTCACCACTCTGAAAGGATAATAAGTATTGTAGCCAAGATGTGGGGGCTTTTGTTCTAATGAGATGGAAAGAGAGGCTTTAGAGCTCATAGTGATGGACTAATTAATCAGTCTATGTGGCAGTTTCCCACAGCTATCCATTAGGGTTTCATTCAGCAAGTCACTGGAGCTTCAATCTTAGTTCCATTGTTGAAAATAGGTCCATAATAATAACATGATTGCGGATTGATCACTAGAAGGTTTTGGAGGGAAATGCATGTGGTGAGGAATAATGATGCCCCGTGCAGATAGCCCTCAACAAAAGCATTTTCTACAAATTCAAGATCCAGAATCGTTTTTGAAATTGTACAAAATCAATTATGTTTTTCCATCAATGTGAAACAGCAAAATGACAGCCACAGTTACTTATTTTGTCTCATTTTTTTGTTAGAAGTAGAAACTACCACAGGTAGCTATCTGGGCCTTCATCATTAAGTATGAACTCTTGTTATCCAATAGCCTATTTGGCTTGGGAGCTGTCTGTTATAAATAGACAAGATACAAGCCATTTAGTCCCGTCTCGATATCAGAGTCCAAAGACCTGGTTTCGATGACTGAATTTGTTCAAAATGCAGCAGTCTTCAAATCACCCCGGTACAACCTGAGAGGGATGTCCTAACATGTACATAAATGTAAAATAGATAGTTGAATACTTACTGTTTAAATATATCCAACAAGCTTTCAATTAATCCCTGTCTCATGGCAATGATTTTTCAGATTAGGTGGAATGCAGTCAGTAGCTTGATTATGTTAAGAGGCAACTGTTTTTTCCAGTTCAAGTAAAGCACCATATTTGTGAACTACAATAGTCTGCAGGAGGAGTTCAATCTGTTGTTCAAGCTCATTGTAACCCCTATAGACATGGTTACTAGTATTTTCTTGTTTTTACCTGGTAATATTATTTCCGACACCCCTTGAACACACTTTGATTTTCTGTAGTTCAGTGAATGCAACAAAAGCACGTTGCTGCATTAAGCTAGGCAAAACGGAGCAAGACACCGAGAGCAATTAACAAGCTACACAGTGAGTCTTTTGGTATAAAATAAGTGTTATAAAGTATTTTCAACAGTCTCTAACTTAAAGTTATGTACTTTTCAGAGGCCTTTATGTGTTTTACTCTCGACCAAAACCAGGCAGAGCGTGTATTTGTTTCTTGGGAATTCCGGTGAGTTACTAGAGATGATAAGTTAGCAGGAAAACTTATGCTAATTGTACATGTGGTAAACACTGCAACAGTGCGAATTCTGTATTGTCTAAAAAAAGCTAAAACCAGTCGGAGTACTTGAATTGTGTGTGAAATGGAATGTCGTATTTTATTTTATTGTCTATTTGATTGGGCATCTTCACAAATGCGCAAAACTAATGCAGGATGCACTTTTCTTTTAGCCATAAATGTTGTGCAGTGCCTTTCCTGCACTTTGTAATTTCAGTTATAGGTTAATACATGTAAATAAGTTATTTAAAACTAGTTGCGTTACAAACATTTCATGATGTGATTACATATGCCTTAAAAAGGGGTATATAAATACAATTGATTGTAATGCTGTAAAGCAATACAAATGGAATTCATAGAGACAGAACAATGTTAAAACAACAGTGTACTTGATTTTGAAAACTTTATGAGATCTCATTTTATTTAGAAAAACTGTTAAGAACTATTTTGTTTATTGCTCTGTACTGTATGTGCAGACTGGTTTTTTGTGATCCTGGATCTGAAGTGGTTCTGGATATGGATGGTGAGCCAGACCCTGTGAAAACTCTTGGCGAATCCAAAAGCAGTGTGGCCAGCTGTTCTGGATGCAGGAGTAGAGTTACAGTCTGAATTACTTCGAATCGCAGGATTTCAGATAAGCAAGAACAAAATCTGCTTACTTGATACGGATTGTTTCTCTGGGAAACAGTTGAACTCCCAATATCCTGCTCATCAGGAGTCAGGTCTAAAGAGACTACTTATTTTATTTTATTTTGTTGTTATTTTCAAAAGAGCGCTCTTCTCTGTTGATTTTCTGTTAATTTTCTATGCTGTTTACATTGGGTTATTGCACCACTGTAACATTGTAATAAATCTGCCGGCTGTTCAACACTCAATTCTCTCAAATTTATTTTACTCCTCTCGAATCTAGTCTATAAGTTTAATCCTACTATACTAAGCAGGTGTTACATCATTCTACAGAATAGGTCAGTGAATGTCATGTTGATTGCATTTTAGGGCAATAATAGAGGAACAAGCTTGCATTTTCACTACTAGTGGCACATCACAAGTGTGGCATAACATGTGACCTTGCTGTTATTGCTGTCCAGCTGACAAAAAGAAATTTTGACCAACCAATTAGGTATATAGGGTATATAAAAAGTTAAATCTTACAGCATTTACTTAAGCAACACAAAAATTAAAATGTGCTACATGCTTTCCTTCTCATAGTGAAATTGCAAAGTATAAATGTCTGACATTGATACTGTGGACCATCATATTCTGCTAGATAGGCTGAGAGACTGGATGGGTATATCAGGGGCTGCTTTGGACTGGTTTGAATCCTATTTGCATGAACGATCCTTTTCTGTGGCTACCTCTAAGTACAGTTCCTCTTCTACTTTTCTTGCCTATAGTGTGCCACAAGGTTCAGTTTTGGGGCCTTTATTGTTCTTACTGTATTTACTTCCTCTTCAACACTTATTGAGAACTTTTAAGGACATTTCAGATCATTTATGCAGATGATATTCAGGTATATATCTCCTTTAAGCCCCATGATGTTTCCAAGTTACAAATTTTGCACAAGTGCATAGACTCCATTAGATGTTGGATGGCTGGAAACTTTCTTCAACTAAATGAGGAGAAGACTGAAGTTCTTGTTTGTGCTCCTAAAACTTTTGTACCTAGTGTTATGGAAAACTTGGGTCCACTTGCTATATTTGCAAAACCGTCTATCAGGAGCCTTGGTGTTAGTATTGACTCAGCTCTGACTTTGGATGCCCATGTAAAATCTTTGGTTCGCTCCTGTTTTTATCATTTGAGAAACATTGCTAAGCTGAGTCCCATTGTATCGCGCTCCGAATTAGAAATTGTCATTCATGCATTTGTTTCATCTCGTCTGGACTACTGTAATTCTTTGTTTACTTGTTTATGTAAAGCCTCTTTGGATCGTCTGCAAGTTGTTCAGAATGCTGCTGCAAAGCTTCTGACCAAGTCCTCCAAGTTTTCCCATGTCACACCCCTGCTGATTCAGCTGCACTGGCTCCCCGTTAAATTCAGGATCCAGTTTAAGGTTTTGACCTTGACTTTCAGGGCCCTGCATGGACAAGCACCACAACATATATAAGTGAACTTTTGCATCCATACATTCCCAGCAGGTCCCTGAGGTCATGTGACCAGGGCTTGCTTGCTGTCCAGCACACGAGGCTGAAAACAAAAGGCGACAAAGCTTTTGGAACTGTGGCCCCCAGATTGTGGAACTCTCTCCCTTTGAGCCTGAGATCTGTGGACTCAGTGGTCACTTTTAAAAAACAGCTAAAAACCCATCTTTTTAAACTTGTTTTTAGTTGATTTTTATTTTTAGGTTTTAGCTTCTGTGAAGCACTTTGTGATTTTTATCTTGAAAGGTGCTATATAAATAAAGTTTTACTTACTTACTTACTTACATTAGGATTTTTTCCTTCTTGTGCCCTTTACTTCATATCCTCCTTCTGAGTGCTTGGTCTGGCTAAATGCTTGTGTCAGTAAACGTTTGTGGCTTACTTTGCAGCAGCTGGTGAATTGACCAAAAGCCACCCCTCAGGCTTAACACTGCAGGCCTCATTAATGCAAATCTAGCTTTAACAGACTGATGGGAAATTGGCTCCCTCCACTCCACTGTGAGACTGTAGAAAAGGCAGGAACAAGGTGAGAACAGAGATGGGTTAAGTAGCCCGGACATGGGATTTAAAAGCAAAGGTTTGCATCAATCAACTGGTGTGGACATAGATACCAAAACCACAAAAGCCTGAAATGAGAAATATGGTCTAGAAAAGTAGATTTTTCAAGCAGTTAAGTGCTTTTGCACTTGCAGTGTCTGCCACTGTCTACTGTTGTCAGTTGCAAAAACTGTTGCTACTGCAATAGAAAGTCATGATATTTTTTTTACAAAGGATCCACTGAAAATACAGTGTGGGAAAGGATACAGGAAGAGGTTATTCAACAGCAGAGAATGAACAGAACAATGAAAAAGCCCATAATGGAATGAACATCTGCTTATAATATGGGGTAGTAAACAAATTCTATAATATTTGTTAATAGGGCGCTCCATATAAGTTTATTGTGTCATATGGCTAACCATATCCCTGATTTTAAGCAGCAACTCACTGTGTCTGAACAGTGACAAGCAGCAGCCTGGGGTGTACATGCTGTTAAGATGAAGTTAGTTGCATGCCACTGCTGTGGCACGGCATCCTGCTGCTGCCGCTGTTCAAGACAGAAAGAAAAGCTTCCAGGCAGCATCCACGATAGCAAATGCTCACTGTCTGAAAGCAGCATCGCTTGCATTGATGGGAAAGGTTGGAGAATAAATCATTATTCCAGAATCGCAATGTGAAGGAGAGTGAAGCCAAACCAAGCGGTTAACATGTCACTGCTCACAAGACGCTGGCGCTGCAGTCTTGTGTGGAGTCAAATGGAGAAAATAATCATTCTAACAAAGGCAAGAATGCCAAGAGTTCCTATACCGCTAAAATTAGCAAATGTTAGTCACCGTGGTTGTTGTTTTTCTTCTTGCCACTTCAAGGTTCTTGGATATTGTTCTGTCATGCAAATCAGATGACGCTTAGTAGCACCAATTAAATTGACATGGCCCAAAAGTTTTGACATTAGCTTGAGTATTTTATAATGAGGAGAATTCAGTTCAAACAAGCACACGTGTGTCCGTGTTTATTTTGTCTGTTTTCACAAAGAAACTCAAATGTACTGCTCAAAAAAAGCTCAAAAAAACAAAGTTAAAAATGATAAAATAATATTTTTCTAAGCAAAGAACAGGAAAACAAGTGATTCATTGCACGTGTTTTGATTTTTAAATGGTCTGGTAAAGGTGAATCAGAACAGTGCAAAAATATATAATAACTAATAATAACTGCTTTCACATTATAACCAAGTGCTTCTACTGTAGCACAGAGTGAGACTTTCTCTTACTCCAAATACTTTATTTTGGACCTTGAAATTTCTTAATTACAAACCATTTAAAAATATCTGGCTGTGCAAATGATTAGTTTAATGGTTACACCTACCCTCAGTGATTATTGCCATGCGACAGGCTGAAATCTGATGAAGTTAGACAGTCATATTGGTAGAAAATTAGATTGAGGGCATGTTGTTCATGGTTTCATGGCAATATTACAGTAAAGCGTGACACACAGAAGCAAAAGAAAATCCTGCACTTTGTTTGAGGATTCATTTCTCACCATCATGTCGCTTTGAAACAATAAATGCAAAAAAAGTGATCTAGACTAAAACATCTAGACTGGTGTTTACTTTGTGTCAGTAAATACCACTGAAAGAAGATAACAGAAACATTATATCTCAGCAAGTACAGTCAGCACCTAAACGTGTCATGAGGTTTAGTTCATCTGGAGTGCTACAATGATTTAAAGACATGACTATTTACGTGGGAGGAGGAAGTCACTACGCCTGCCTCTGTCTTTTGGTCCCTGCCACTATGTAATGAAGGGGCACAGCAGCTCTGCAGGTTAACATTCTGTCCATCTCCTGAAGACAACACGTCAGTATGGATTAGGGAACTGAAGTAGCCATGAAGGGGAAAAAAACTCTCCCATCTCCAATTACAATAAGCAAACAGCTCCTGGGAATGAAAGGAAGAGAAGGGATGATATGCACTCTAGCAGCACCCAGTTCAGCCCACACAAGACAAAGCAAACATTATTAGCTTAATAACATTTTCAGTTCACGGCAACCAGCATAACAACAAGCTAATGGAACACGAAAGCCCAAATTAATGAGAACAAATAATTTGTAATTACAACCCAGTTTAAAGGCTCTCACAGGTCCTAAGTTGAATGATTGCACAGAGAGTTTGGCCTAATTCTCTGTAGTCAGCTTTGTGTGAATACAGTGTGCGGGTATGGTTTCCCTGTACCATGCAGGACTTTACAGGAGCCTGATGTTTCTCAGATAATAGTCCCATTAGCAGGTCCTCTTTTCCTGCTACCTAGCCTATGTTATGGGTTATTACCACTGCCATATTGAAGATTGCACCCTTCTGACATGTTTATGGCACATTACAGCACACGTACACTTGTCTGTATAATAACTGTCTAGCCTACAGTGTTCTTAATGATAAAACGAGGTAGAAACTGTTTTATGATTTAAGTGGCTGCAGAACATCAAGCCATCTGCTTCCGCTAGCATCATCTGCTTGTTTTGTGCTCATTTTGATTAATGCAGACTTAGGATTTACATTTACAACCAATGTAAAAGTAATCAGGACAAGATGTTTTCTGATTTTTTAACTATGTTTTATTTTTCACTATGAATGAGCTATCGGCAGCTCATCTCCCTCAGACTCATTCATTCCAACCTTTAGCTTTTGAGTTATTATTATTCTCAAATCTATTATATATTATTATATATATTATTTGTTCATTCAGTCTGGCTGTTTTTCATAAGACGGAAGTCTGTAAATGTGCTAATGGATTGACTGCTGTGCCGTGATGATCTATAATCAGCACCAGTGGAAAGATATCACACTCAGTTCCTT